TTCTCATGCTATTGTCAATTAAAGCTGCTTTCATTCTCTGATTATTTGCATTTGTTTCTTATTGGTCATGCTTAGCAAGGTGTTTACAGTGGATTTTACTTGCAAAGTTGTGGAGAAGAGGGATCCCTTGCAGGCTACTGCATGTGCCTGGAATAAGACATTGGAATGTGACATAGTACAGCCATTCTGGAAGACAGTATGGAAGTTTCTCACAAATTTGAAAATAGAACTACCATATTATCTAGCAATTCCACTCCTGGAGATATATCCAAAGGAAATGAAGCCAGTATGTCAGAGTCATCTGCACTCCCATGTTCATCACAGCGAGATATGGAATCAGCTTGTGTCTATCAGGGGATGAATGAATAAAGAAAATGTGATATATACATCTGTCTGCCACCATTCAGCCTTAAAAATGTAAGGAAATCCTGTTATTTGTGACAATGTGCATAAACCTGGAGGACACTATGCTAAGTGAAATAAGACAGGCAGGAAGACAAATGCTGAGTCAGGTAGGATGGTGAATTATCTGTAATTTCATCTTCTTGGGAGGCTGAGGCAGAAGGATGGCAAATTTGAGGCCAGTCTGGGTAACATGGCAAGACCTTATCTCAAAATGAAAAATAAAAAAAAGGGGCTGGGCTTGTAGCTCAGTGATAGAGCTCCTGCCTGGCATGCCTAAGGTCCTGGGTTCAATCCCCAAGGCAAATACTATAGGATCTCACTCATATGTGGGGTCAGAACAAGCTAAATACATAAAAACAGAGAGTAGAATGGTAGTTACCAGGGGCAAAGGGTTAGAAGAGGAGTCGGGTAGATGTTGGTTAAAAAATATGAAATTTCAGTTAGATAGGAAGAATAAATTTAGGAGATTTATTGTATAATGTGGTGGTGACTATAGTTAACAATGTATAGTAGATTTTAGGTGTCATCGCAACACATAAAAAATAAACGTGAGAATACATATATTAGAACAATTTAGTCATCCATAATTATGCATATTTCAAAACATCATATTGTACACCATAAATACAATTTTTCCAATGCAAAGTAAATATAAAAAATGAATTTTATCTTTCACCATCAATTCTTTTTTTTATTTCTATTTCCTCATATATTGGATTTTAAAGAGATAACTGGAAGGCATTTTAGGTCATGACTTTGAATTTCTTCTAAAGAATAGCATCTATATTTGACTTTCTTTGTTGGGCAATGATAATAACCAGCATGGCCCTACTTAGGTATAATCTATCTGTTTGTTTGTCCTCTCGATACAGCCGATGAATACATTTATCAAGCACCTATTATGGGCTGGGTTTTAGGTTCTGGATACAGAGTAGTGTCCAAAGTAAGTTTAAATAACAGCTGCCCTCATGGGTTTTACATTCCAGGCAGCAATATCTTTGAAGTTAGGTAAAACAGGTTCCATGCAAAGGAGACAAACGGAGATGGGGAGGTAGCTGGGGGTGAGAGGAGGGGAGTTGTTCTTTTTACGTGGTGATCAGGCTGGACTCCCTGGGAAGGTAGCCGTTAAGGTGGGTCTTTATTCTGATGCTCCCAGTTATGTGTTCTGTGAGTAGTTAGTGTCGGGACAGAGAAAGTCCTAAATCTGAAGCACTTGTGTCTGCTCCAGGAGTAACTTTAGGACTGTTAGATGTGCCCAGTGTTGCCCTGCCATGTGACTCCTAGCTGCTCAAAGACAGAAAGACTTTGTGAGGTCACTGTAGAGGTCACGCTGGCTCATGCCCCTTCCTCAAAGGTGTATCTTTGCAGCCCTTGTTGGGGCTGTGGGGTCTTTCTGGTGCCGTAGTCATTCTTGCCAGACACCCTTCTGATGGAGTCAGGAGGACTGGCTGGGATCAGTGTACCTGCTCACTATCTCTCCTAGCCCAGGACATACGCTGAGTTACGTTATCCCAGTGCTACCAAAACAAAAACTGCCAAACATGTAGTAGATGCTCAATAAATATTTTCATTGACCCCAAGCAATGTCGCAAATAACACCCCCAGCTACTATGTGGTGGCCCCTGTAAATTACCTAGTGCTTAAAGATCAAAACATGGTGAGTTGGCCTGCAGTCCCTGAGACCTGGAGTTGCTTGTGGCCCGGCATGACTCCTCTTGTCAGCCTGCCTCTCAGGAGGTCATGTGCCGAGTGTCCAGCCTTGCTTGCTTTTCTTTCTCTCTCTACCACTGCTTGGTTGTGGTTCTGAAGCTCTGTAACCTATTCCAGCTCTAATACAGTCTGATTTTATAACCTGGCAAAGCCAGCACTTGCTGGTAATTTGAATGAAGCAAAAATACATTTATTTAAAAAAGTAAAGCCAGCATCTACTTCTGAAAATTGCATTATAAGGGAGTCTGTTTTTGCTCAGGGCACTAAGAAAAGGGTTAACAGTGTGATATCTGAGAATGAAGTAGGGTTGGTGTGGCTCAGTGCCATGGGAGCCCTTCACTCTGTAGGCTTCTGTGTTGGGCAATTTGTAGAAACATAGACACGGTTTCCTTAGTGAGTATAAAATCTGAAATTACTGGATAGGAGAGATGTGTGACAGAGAGAAACTGGAGCACTAGGTGGGATTTGAGGTCAGGAAAAGGATTCCGAAGCACTTTGGGATGCTGAGTTCTGACAATTGACACATGCAGCCCCATCTTGTGTATGTTGTGAACAGTAACATGGGGCTTGTGCAGTACTTTCAGAAGATAATTTTCAGGAGATGGTTTCAGTATTTTGTGAAGACTTTATCTCCTTCGCTTGTGTCACTCCAAAAGCTGTGACCTAGAGTACAGAGCCTCCTTTTTCCCCATTGCAGTACTGGGTGTGAACCATGGGCCTTTGAACTCTTTTTCTATTTTTTAATTTTATTCTAAGTCAGTAAGGTGCTGACACTGAGCTTGAAATCAGGATCCTTCTGCCTCAGGCTCCCAAAGTGCTGGGATTGCAGGCACGTACCACTATGCCTGGTTAAAAAACCAAGCGCTTCTGAGAACAAGATTTATATGTGGGTTCTTCAGTGTATTTGAATTTATACCATGTCAGTGTAAGCACTGAGTGACAAAAAATTCATTTCTTTAGAAACATGAATTCAATTCTATCCCTGTATGAATAATACTGGCTCAGTAATAGGATAGTTGTTCCTACCACAAAGGTAGTTTTTTCTCTGTCTTGGTTTTATTTCTGCTGTGTTGGAAGTTCATTTGGTGTATAAAAACAAAAATTTTTTTTTTTTTTTGGTACCAGGGATCGAACTCAGGTCCTTGTGCTTGCGGGGCAGGCAGCAGAACCACTGAGCTAAATCCCCAGCCTTGGTCCATAAACATTTATTGAGCCCCATATACAACTCTAGGTATGGGGTGTGTTACCTGGCAAAGACCAGAAAGGTCCTTGCTCTCATGGAGCTTATCATTCAGGTTAGGGGGTGCAGGGTGGAGAGACTGACAGTACAGGAGCTAAAGAAGGAAGCTCCAGGAAGTGAGCACCCCTGTGCTGAAAACTGAACAGGGTGATATAGGAGGGGAGACCAGGGGACTGCCTGCAGGGAGGTAGTTGGAAAGCTTTCTGTGAGGAAGTAATTCATAACCAGGGCCAGCTGTGTGGTCATCTGGGGAGGAGCATCTCAGGGTAAAGTTTCCTGGAACTTTACACCTGGGGTGAGAGAAAGCTCTAGTTCAAGGGCTTTGACTCTCCGTGTGGTTGGGACTCTCCGAGTCTGCTGAAAGAAAGAGAAGCTGGCAGGGCAGTGCATGTCCAATCTGAAGGACAAGGTAAGAAGCCTAGGATTTGATTAAGGGGAGGACATGCTGATTTGGGCTCACAAAAGAGCACTCTGACTACCTGGGGCTGTGGGCAGGCAAGAGAACTGGAGAAGCCCGCTGGCCAGCTGTGGCCTGATGTCACATGACTTAGACTGAGGTGACTTCAACTTGGGTGACAGCTGTAGCTGGAGCCTGCTGATGGAGCTGGGAAAGGGTAGGGTCAGAAATGGCTCCTACCTGTTAGGCTCGGGTGAATGGGGATGTGTTTCCTGAGGAGGAGGAGAGCAGGGAAAAGCAGATTTGGGGGGGAAATCGGTGTTTGTTTTGGATGAACGAGGTGGAGATACCACCGGACAAATGTTAACTAGGAAGTAGGATGTGCCAGCCTGGAGTTTAAGGGCAGTCAGACGTGAAGAAGTGCACGTGGGAGTCGTCTCTATACATACTGATGCCATGTAAAGCCATGGCTGTGACCTTGAAGCCTTGACCACATGCCCGTCACCTGGGCTAAGCTCTGTCTCTCAGTTTTTCCTTGGCTGGCCTCGCTTTTGTCATCAAAGATGCACAATGCCAAGGGCAAAAGGAGAATAGTAAAAAGAAACATTTGGTGGACCTGTAACAATAGTTGACAAGAGTCTTCTCATTGGTGATACTCTCAGCATTTTGATCATCACCTTGTTTTCCAAACAAAACAGAGCTTCAAAGTGAGTGAATTATATTAAAGACGGGTTCTAGATTCACAGTGTGCTCTTTAAATGCCATAAACTAATATATTTTACTGGATCTATAGTATAAATAAGTTACACAAAGAAAGTTTTTAATGCTGCTGATTTCCTCCACCATTTTCTATGCCACTAGCCTACTTTGTTGAAATGAACTGAACTAAAAAGAAAAAAACAACCTAAAACTAAGAAATTATGAAAATGTGTCTTTACTTTCTGATACTATTTGCATTTTGGATTAGATATTTAATTGTGGTGGAATTATTTTGACATTTGGATGTTTTACATTTTTAGATGATCTTTGTGGCATCTTCATTTATTTTGTTCCTTTGCAAAATGTTTCCTGTCTCTGTAGGTTTGCTACTAGTTTTATGCCTAGTTCTTTTTTTTTTTTTTTAGTCATAAATACATGTGTAATTTACTGTGTTGTGTGGAGCAAAATTCAAAGTTTTGTGGTTTTTTGCCTTCTCAAAATAATTTGGGGTAAGAAAAAACAGGAATGAAGCTTTGTTTCTCTTGACAGATTCTTGCTCATTACAGGCCAGCTGTTCAGACCTCCAACTGGCCATGTGGTGAGCTCAAGGACATCAGTGGGTAGGACGACAGCCACTGGAGAGCTCGACCTGTCCGTTCACACGTGTTCCCCCGACTCCAGCCTGGCAGGATGGTGTCACAGTCCATGGGCTGGCAGGATTTTCCTGTGGTCTCCTGGGAAGGGATCAGCCGTGACTCTGGAGACACCGACAGTTTGCCCAGCTTCCAGGATACAAGGCCCTCTCCTTGCCAATTAGATATCAGGTTCGCAAGGCACAAAGCCGCCTGGATTATTCCCCCGTGCATGCGGCAGCCTCTGAAGGACTTGGGCCCCCAGCTGCCAACAGCAAGGCACAATGGGAAGCACTTCGTGGCCCATGCTGACTCTCCCTTGAGCCCTTCACTGCTGTCCCTCATTGACCTGGCAGAGACGTCATTATCTGAGGATACCACAGACTCTGACAGCACAAGCAGTGCTCCCGGCTCAGGGGAAAAGAATAGCAGCTTCTCCTTGACCTCCACAGAGGAGTTGGAGAAGCTCGCAGGACAGCCTCAGCAGGCATCTCTGTCCACAGGCTCCAACAGTTTGGCCACTTCCCCTTCGCCCGAGGTTGACGGTGCTGTGTTTGAGTCTTCCCACTTGATGGCTTCTGAGGACAAAGGTATCATTAGCCAGTGTCACTTCATTCCCATCTGTTCACCTGCTCCCTTGGCTCTGCGTCTAAGGTCTGCCTGTTGTGATCCCCTTAGAACGTGGCTCCTCAGTTTCTGCTTTGACTGTGAGCAGCCCATGAGCTCATGTAGTGTGATTCCCAGCACAGGCACCGATGGTCACAGCAGGAGAGCAAAGACTGTTCTTAGACTGTAGAAGGAGGTCATCTTTTCCGTTTAACAGAGTTGATGATGCCGTTTGCTGTTTTTGAGCTGGTGTCTGCCTTGTGGGACGTACAGCTCACGAAGCTATTCTGCATCAGAAACATTTTCCACTCCGTGTGGGTGGCAGGAGGCTTTTCCAGACAGTCAGAAGGAGCTCCACATCCGCCATGCTTGTAGGGGCCAATGAACTTGCCTCACCTGTCCATTTACCTGTACAGATTGTGGTGAGAACACATTAAGATAAAAAACAATGCCCACAATCCTCGTAAAGACTCTATGAAGCTTTTATTTTATTGAAACAAGACTTGCATTGCTGAGGTGTAATATACATATTCCTAAAATACTAAAATCCCTAACATGGGCTATTCCGTGCAAAACACCACTGAAAAGTTGATTACTTATTCAATGAGGCATGCTTATTTTATTTTTAAACATGCTCATTATGTTTATAACAACAATGTTATTTATATTTAAAATATTAATCATGCTATATTTATGCTTTGCATTATTTGTATTTCTATAAGAACCCTAGTTCAAATCATTGATAAATTTTGTTCCCTCAAATTAATTTAAAAAGTTGTCTATTTGCCTGCTCCTTTTCCATTTATGTATTTATTTATTTCTCACTAGCAGGAACCCATCTTCCTCCTTATTCGGTATATAGGGTTCATTTCTTCTATTGGAAGTGTTTGAAAAATCAAAGGTAATGACAATCTTTTGTACATTATTCATAGCTTAAAGTTAGCAGACTTTGGACAGTCTTTCAGTGGCTAATTTTGAGATAACAACCAAATTACAGTAAAGTACAAGCCTTTTTTTTCTATCTTTTGCTCGTTTGCCTCGATAGTTCTCAAGATAGAAAGTGACATGCAGATTTAGTGGTTTCCAAGTAAGATATTTATCTGCTGTTAGATTCTGTCATGGAAGCAAGCCTTCTCTCTCACAAAATGTCAGTGACAAGTTATAATCTGTCACTGACTGAAGATTTTCTTTGGGGCCTATATATCCTAGCCCAAAGTATTTATACTGTACAAGTATCTTTGCAACTTAAAATTATCCTGTATCTCACCCCTCACCAAAAAAATCCAAACACAGGTGCTTTAGCACTAGGACAGGGACTTCTGGTGATCCTCAATACCTTTAAAAGCATTTCTGTACCAAGGACAGTGGCACATACCTATAATCCCAGCTACCTGGGAGATTGAGGCAGGAGGATCAACAGTTCAAGGCCAATCTGGGCAAATTAGCAAGATCCTGTATCAAAATTTAAAAAAATAAAAAGGGCTAGAGCTGTAAGTCAGCAATAGAGTACTTTGGAGGCCTGGGTGCCAATCCCAAGTACTGAAATGTAAAAAACACCCAGGCATAGTGACATACGCCTATTCTAGGACTCTAGGAAACTGAGGCAGGAGAATTGAATGTTGGAGCCAGCCTGGGCAATTTAGTGACTTAGTGAGACACTATCAAAAAGTAGACAGGGCTGGGGATGTGGCTCAGTGCAGAGGTGCTATGTTAAATCTCCAGTTACACACACACACACACACACACAAATCAAAACAAAATAAAACTATTCAGTGTTTTGAGAATCTCTCTGAAACCTGGTAAAGATTTTTTCCATGGGGTTAGAAAGAGAAGTCCTGAATGATCTAGTTCTTTGTTTTAGGGCAGTAATGGAAAGAACAGGCATTAGCCACTGCCACATGGGTATTCCTAGGATCACTGAATGTCAAATGGTAGCAACAGGGGTTTCCTTTTCTAGAAAATACCACCAGAGCCTATAAGCATCTCCTATGGCTGTAGAAAACAATCTCACCTTTCCCTTTCTGTGTTCAGCATCTACATGTTTATAAAGCACCTTCGCATTCCTTGTCTCTTTAAGATCCTAATAGGTAAAAAAATCCAGTTTATTGCATGAGAAAATTTTGTAGCCCAAGCACAACTGTTCCATTCTGTCTGTTTCTTGACACTTTTTCCTCTGTGCTTAGATCTGCACCTCTGACCTGTGGACTAAATGCTACATTTTCTGTTTTCATCAAGAAAGTTTTATAAATAGGTGTTTGCTCACTAAATTGGCAGAGAAGAACAGTATCCACAGATACAGTTTGATAGCTTCTTATATTCCTATAATATTCCATGTCTGCTCCTTTAATGGAAAAGTTCACCAAGCCAGATGACTTCTGAAGCCAAGAGGTCCCACATGTTTCATGCAGCAGCCACTTTCCTGAACATGAGCCAAGGCATCTGAGTAACCCTGCTTGCACTGCTGTCAGCCTGGGAACTTATTCCCACCAGAACATTTGCAGCATTTCATTCTAAATCAACAGGTTGGGATAACTCAGTTCTTGTAGCTGTCATAGAAATCTTTGCTTTCAATGCTGCAGTACAAAGTCACATGATGGTGCCCATTTTGTTGGTGGTCATTGCCAGTAACGAGGTGGCTAAGAGAACAGAGATGGATGATTCAGCAGAGTGCACTTTCTGCAGCTTCTTCTTGGTTTTGACTACAGGGACATCATTTTAGAGAAGCAGTGCTGGGTTTTTTGCAGATGCTTTTGTGTGAGTAACAGGAAGCGTGGGCTCAGCTGCACTGAGTTGGAGAAGTGATCTGGTAATTCACATGGCCTTGCTTCTAGACTGTCCCCTCTCACCTTCCCCATCCCATGTGAGCATTTCCCATGACTTTCTGCTTTCCACCCTCTGTGTCATGCCACCTCCACCCACCTCAGCAGGGCTCCTGTACCTGAGGAAACTTCCGGTGGATCTTGGAGACCTACTAACATCTCAAGGGTCTTTCTTCCTCACTTACCCTGTTAGAATAGTGCCAGTTGTTTTGCTTTTAAAAGCTGCACTCTAGGATTCATTTGTTTTCTTAGGTAATCTCTGAACTTCCTTTGCTCCATCTTAATAACTTGGTATATTGGCAGGTGCTGTGCAAGGCAGTAGAGGAGCCATTTCTTTGAATTCCTTCTTACCTGATGTATTCGTGCTGCCTGTGGACACAGAAAAGGTGAATACTGTCTTCTTTGTTAGCACTGATCATCTTAATCCCTTAAATAGTGCTGTTCTGATTTAAATCTGTAAAAGTAGCCTTGAGGAGACACAGTAAACAAACAGGGGTCCTTTTGGGATTTGATTTGTAGATCTGTAGAAAGTGATAGATAAACCCCAAAAAGGTTTCAGGCAGGTTCTGCTCAGCTGGAGAACTTTTTATTTGTTTACTTATTTGTTTTTCAGTACAGAGAATGAGATCCAGAAATGAGACCCTGAACTACATTTCAAAAACATTTTTTAAAGATTTTGAAACAAGGTCTCACTAAGTTGCTACATTGTCCAGGCTGGGCTCTCACTTGCAGTCCTCCTGACCCGGCCTCCCACAGTACTGGGATCACAGGCCTGTGCCATCATGCCTGGATGGAGAGCTTCCCGTGGTTGATGAATGCTATCTGCTATTAGGCCATCACCAGCCTGGGGTTTCTTGTTGCAAGAAATTCAAGAAAATGTGGGTTGTCTGCTGACTACAACAGGATAAACTTTGTGTCTGGGTGATGTGTGTTATGAGTTACAAGTGACCCATGACAACCCAGTTAAGTGAACACTGAGATTTATATATATGAACTTCACTTACATGAAACTTTGCAGTTTTTCAAATCTAAAATACTCTCCATGAGAAAGGGTTGATTATGCTAACGAGTACTTTCACTGATTTTTTTTTTCTTGCAGGAAAATGCCCATTTTTATGTTGCAGATATAATTATATCAGAAATGGAGAAAATGAAGTGTAGCATCCTGAGTCAGCAGCAGACACAGATCTGGGCCCCAGATGAAGCCCGCGGGTCACTTGGGAATGACCAAGCTGACTCTGAAGCTGCCTTTTACACCCACATGGACCAAAAGCCTGGGTCTTCCTCTTCTTCAGATAGTGGCTACGAAGGCAAGTTGGGCAAAGGTGGGGAAGTTTTATTCTTCACACACATCTTTTCTGATATATGTCTGTCCCTAAATCCTTCATCTAAAACTTCTTGGCTGGGTGTAGTGTCACAGACCTGTAATTCCAACATTCTGGGAGGCTAAAGCAGGAGGATCTCAAGTTCGAGTCCCACTTGGGGCAAATTAGTGAGACCCTGTCTCAAAGTAAAAATAAAGGGCTGGGAATGTAATTTAGGTGTAGGTCCTGGGTTCAGTTACCAGTACCACGTATATACCTACATACATGACTTCCTTTCTTCTTGAGTAACCATTGAGGTCACACCCTTAAGTGAAATAAATAGGACACACATGTGTAAATACCAAATAGTTTCTCTGGTGTGAGAAACTGAAAGTGGAAATGAGGACCAAATTATATAACAGATGATGCGAAATAGGAAGAAAAGGTTCAAAGGGGAAGGGGAAGTAGGGGTGGGGGGAGAGGGAAAGAAAAAATATGAGAAAAAAAGGAAAAAATGGAAACAAAGCTTTTGTAAATAGGGAGGGGTGGAGTGAAGGGGAACGGGGAAAATACAAGAGCCAAGATGTATCATGCACAGGTACAAATTCCCAAAGATGAATGTGACCATAAAAAAAAAAAAAGAAAGAAAGAAAAGGAAAGCAGAATAAAGTCCAAGAAAAAACAAAACAAAGCACAGGATTTGAAAAATGGATGGAGCATGATAACCCAGAATAAGGCAAATGGGCCTTGCAGGAACTGACAGGGATTACAGAGGTTACTCAAGAAGAGTACCTAAGCTGGCGACAACTGTTAGCATTTGCTACTTTCTTATTATTTCCTAAATTCCCTGCCTTCAGTTCTACTTTTTTGTATTCTATTTTGGCAGATTTTGTGCACTGCCCAGAAACCCTTACTACCTCTCAGTTGACATCTCCTGGGTCTTTGCCTTTAGCCCTGCAGTTCTCAACTTAGCATTTCCTTTCTGTGGCTAGGACTTATTGAACTTGATGCTATGGCTGGCCCACAGAACCTCTAACGTAGCATTCATTTCTGGGTGGCTCAGAACACTTCATTTTCTCCATTGCTGATATAATCATAGTGGGTATAGTTAACCTCTGACTTACTATGTCTGAACCAGTTATTTTTACTCCTCCACACCCCTTTCCTTCCAAAAGAGAAAAAAATGAAAGCTCATTTCTCCACCTTTACATCTGCAAAAGCTCTTATTTCCAGATGAAGCTACATTCACAAGTGTTTCTCCACTCCCAGAGTCTTGTGTGTTGTTTTAGTTATTTTTCCCATTGTTAAGACAAAATATCTGACGCCCGAAGTTAAAGGAGGAAAAGTTTTATTTAGCTCACAGTCTGTAGAAGTTTCAGTTCACAGTTGTTCGGAGTTGGCTCGCTCCAAGGCAGCCTTGCATGGCAGAGGGGCACAAGAGAGGAGAAAAGAAGGCGGCAAAGCAGCACAGTGGTGAAGAGGCAGCACATGACCACAGCACATGTCTAAAGGCAGATTACTGTTAGGAAACCTCCAAATATTTTTATTTCACTTAATTATAGTGAATGTAAAGGCACAAAATAGCTTCTTGCATTTTTTTAATCCTTGAAGCTGAATTTTTAATAATTTTGAAGTAATTTATTAGCCTTTTTATTCCCAGATGTGTGTTTGATTGGGTGCTGAGGTTGCATGTTTTTTTTTCTTTTTCTAGGTTGTGCTGTGTTACAGGTCAGCCCAACGGCTGAAGCACCTTCTTGCTGTAGTGTGCTGAAAGAGGCCAGCAAATGTGACTTGGATGAATTTGCCATTTTAGGTTAAGATTTGGAAAAAAATCACTGGATATGACTGGCTGTCTCCTTCTCCCTTTTACACACATGTACCAATACTCATCACACACAATACCATGCATTCAAAGATGCTTACCCAAGAGCAGATTATGTCTCTGACATTAAAAAATAGTTGTTTTTCTTGCTTCAGATGTCTTGATAGCTAATCTCTCATCTCACTTGGAGAATTGAATTAAAAAGCAGATTTTCACTGTGATCTTTTATCCTTTTGCTCTCTCAGTTACATTTTGGATGAAATCTCGCCTTTTGTGGCTATCTGTGGTCTCCCGAAGTTGTCAGTAGTTAATTTGCAGCTGGCCAATTCCCTGAATGTGCAGTTCAGAAGAACCTAAAGCATGGAGATACTGCATAATTGGTTCTTTCTGAGATTCAGGGAGCTAGTTTTATATTCTAATAAAATGCACTATGATTGAGTGAAACAGATCCAAACTCTCACTACTCATTTTTCTCATTTTCCCACAGAACCTGGAGAATTTAATGAGAGCACAGAAACCCATCGATGTTCCTGCAGCTCCTCTACAAGGTATCTATTGTCCACATGCAGCCTCACCTGATCCCCTGAGAACCCTGGGCCTCTGACACCGCGGACTGGGTTAGCCAGTTCTAACGAGGGGAATAATATAGAAATCAATCCAGCACCCCACACACATTTGCAGCCAAGTGTTACTACAACACAATAACCTGAAACAGGTAACTTTTAAAGAGAAGAGTTTTATTTAGCTCACATTTGGAAGTTCAAGGGCGTGGTGATGACATCAGCTCGGTTGCGGTCAGGGCAGTGAGGGCAATGGGGGCAGCGTGTCATGGGGAAAGTGCATGTCAGCCCAGAAGACGGGTCCTGCACCCCTGATGACCTAAGCACCTCCCGCTAGGCCCATTTCCCAAAGGACTAGCATCTCACAATTGGGGCAGTACTACACGTATTCTAGCCACGAACTCCCAAAATCTCTTCAAGGGTTTAATAGTGTACAGGAGGGTTCTGTACACAATTTCATTTACTTCTTATAGAAAAAGCTTTTGTTACCAGAGACCCTGGTCCTGGTCTCCTATAAGCCAGTACAACATCTGCGATATAAGAAAGTGGGAGATAGAAAAAACACACGGACAGAGACTTGAGAGAAACTGAATCTTGGGCTGGTGTAAGCCAGTGTTTGTTCATTCCAAGCATGAGGAGGCAGGAAGCTGGGCAGGCCTTGGGACACCTGCTGATAACAAGTCAGCAAGCAGGACTGTGGGATGAGGGCACAAGTGTATCTTTGCTGAATTGTTAATTTGGAGGAGAAGAATTTAGTTGAAGTCAGTTGACCTTGAGAGGGAGTGAACTCAGCCAAGCCTTGCTACTTCCAAGGTAACACAGCCAAATTACGGAGGGGCAAGAAGCTTGTGCCATAATAGCCTGCTAATACTGGGCAGAGGGGTCTGCTACAGCCCTCAGGAATTGGCCAGGAAAGATTCATGTATTTCTATGTATTTGTTTTTAAACGCCATTATTTAGAGAGCTAGCAACTCACAGGGTGCTCACAAAGGATGTTTCTCAGGTCACAAGGCTATTAAATAACAAAAGTAGGGCTTCCTTGCACCCAGGTCTTCTGACTAAATCCATTGCTCTTTTCCCCACACCTCCAACTCTCAGTACCCTAATGAAGAACACATGCTCTGTTCATTGAGCATGATACAAAATTATTTTGCACAAGACCCCCATTCTGTGATTGATGTGTGGTTTCACCAGACAGCTTCCCCCAAGTTATATAGATGGGATAACAGTTGAAAACCTAAGGAAAACCCTGAACATATTTCTCATGCATGTAGTTTTCTACTTTTTGGATCTCTTACATTTCAGTGTTGCTTATGATCCAGACTTCAATTCTGCTGAGCGATTAGCCAAAGAGTTGTACCAAGTATTCCAGAAGTGCTGGATATTTTCAGTAGTCGATTGCCAGCTGGCAGGTTCCCCGAAGGCAGCCAGTTCAATAGTAAGTATTAACATAAAGTGACTTTAAATCAGAAGTTCCTAAATTCTCATTGGGCCTCACCCATTGACTTCAAGTATGTTTCCTTGTTTGGTCTCTGGGTGCTGGGGGAAACTCAAAATGAATGACAGCACTGGCATATATTGAGTACTTACTCAACTGTAAAAGGAATTGTGCTCAGCAGTTCACAGTTCAATTCTTTATATCTTACTGGTAGATGCCTTCATTATTCTCATTTATTTCATTATTTATTTATTATATCATTATTTTTCAAAGTGTTGGGCTCAGACCTGAGCAGGGCTGGTCAAAAGCAGAGCAGGAGCCACGCCCAGACTGCTAATTTGATAATTAACTCTCCTTCCCTCAAAGATGTGCCGGCCAACCCCTGGTGTACAGGAATTTGTAAGGAAGGATGAGAGCAGAACAAGGCATTCTGGGAGTTCAGGGGAGGGAGAGTTTAATTTTATCAGGGGTAATTAGGAAATCTGATTGGAGATCTCGCAACTTGCTAGTTTTGGGTGGGACAGCAGTGTGGCAGGTGAAAATGCAGGCAGGTGTTCTTGGCAGAGGGCAGCGGAGACAAGGGGAGGGTCCTGGCAGCCTGCTGAGCAGGGACATCGTCCAGTTAGGTATTGCCTGTTTGTGTGTATCCATGAGTGGTTAGACTGTGGAGGACATGGGATGCTAATTTGAGGGATGACAACGAAAAGTATAATGGTTCTGAGCAAAGATTTATAAGGCAGCGAATGTCCAAGCAGAGCTGTTTCTCAGGAGCCTGACCACAGCAGGATTCCAGCTGGCAGCATCTGTTGGTCTGCTGATCTGAGGTGAGGCTTCTGCTTCTCATGAAATATTCCAGGTCAAAAGGACCTATTTGCAGTAAGTTCAAAGTCTGGAAGTGAACTAAAAATACAAAGAAAAGTCATCTTAGCTGGGTGCCACAGGGCCCTTGTTCTTTAGTTCAGCTGAAAAGTTTCAGTTTCTCACAGTACATTTTAGGAAACATATTTGAATGTTCTTTTTGGCTAAACTCTTTAAAAATGCTCATTTTAGGAATCCTTAAATCTTCTCATTTGATTTGCAGGTTGTAAATGAAGAGCATGTCCGAAAAGACTTTGAATCCAGTATGGATGTACAGGAAATTAAACTTAAGTCTAGGATTGGAGGGACTGAAGACTGGGTGCCCCCTAGATTTCAAATCATATTTGATATCCATCCACCACTCACGTGAGTATGGGCTGCTGCCTGGAACGCAATCCATTTAAAAAAGGTGGGATGAATGGAATGTGCTGAATGTCTATAATTTTGTTCAGATGACTGCAGAACCTGGAAAAGCTGTTGCTGCTATTAATGCATAACATACTGCTATTATTGGTCTTTTTATATAAATATAAATATATATATATACACATATATATGTATGTGTGTGCAT